TACGTGCACACACAAACGGAAGGGTCGTACGCACGCGCGCACACAAATGGAAGGGATGTACGCATACAAACATTAAGAATTTGGTAGTAAATAGATTTCGTATTTAGTTAGCATTATATTTTATTGAAATGCTTCAAGTGCCTGTGGACCGGTTGGTCATTTTTGTGTTTGAAATGTGTTCAGACAACTTTGCAGAAAGTCGCATCATAGAGCTGGCAAAAGTTTCGCGCGGAGCATAGAGCATGAATCTGTAGTTATTTAACAGGAATAACGTGTATATTGTGTAAGCGAAGTAGCTGTGTGAGTATTTTTAATTAATTTCTGTTCGATGCTTATGCAGGCCTGTCGCTTATGGACGCCACTGATCTCTACTATACTAACGTAGTTAGTTAGCGTTAGTATAGTAGAGATCAGTGATGGACGCCCTTTATTGTTGTTCACCACCTGTATGGCGGTGTCTATATATTCAAGCCAGTACGACAGATTACGGTACGCATATATTTGCTAATATATTGACTAATCGCGCATCAATAAACTCAATATTCACATAGAGTATAGCTAAGACATGTGTCTATAGGTGTCTAGAATTTTAGAAATTTAATCATGTGTAATTCACTTCCGCGCGCATATATTTGGCATTTTCTAATATATTGACTAATCGTGCGTCAATAAACTCAATATTCACAGATTCAAGCCAGTACGGGAGATCATTTGCATAATATATTCTAGATGCCTATAGACACATGTCTTAGCTATACTCTCTGTGAATATTGAGTTTATTGACGCACGATAAGTCAATATATTAGCAAATATATGCCTACCGTAATCTCCCGTACCGGCTTGAATATAGACACCCCACCTGTATGTGATATAGGACACCCAACGCCATCTACTGACAGATTTAAATTTAATGAGTGCTACATCATTCAGGGTCCCTCTAATGATTAAAGAGAGACAGCTGGATTCATTTTTTCGCGTCAATCCACTGCGAAGAATATTCAATCTCTATTTTAAACCTATAATTTCAACAAATGTATTTTTATTTCGTGAGATACTGCGCACGTATAGGTGGTGAACAACAGTAGGGGCGTCCGTAGGCGGCAGGCCTGAATAAGCATCGAACAGAAATTAATTAAAAATACTCACACTGTTATTCGCATACACAACATACACTTTATTCATGTCAAATAACTACAGATTTATGCGCTACTAGCTGTGGGTACCCGCTGCGCCGGGTAAAATCGTGCTACTAATTCATAGGAGTGTGTTATCCACCATCCCACCTTCAAAAGTCGTATATCCGTAACCAACGATTTTTTCCTCCAACGGCCTCCAGCCCTGCCGAAGGGCCACTTGCCACTCAAAAGACAATTGATTAGTTAGTTGGTCGAACCATCTGCTAGTTCGGCTCGACCGCTCGTCGTAGATGTCTCTCTGACTCTTCTCTTCTCCGCGGAGCTGGCTGACTCCCTCGATACAGCAGCAGTAGTGGTAGTTAGCAACGGCTAGGAACATTCCGTAACCAACGGCTGCCGTTCTTGGTATCGTTGGTTACGGATAGACATAGACCTGGAAATGGCCTGTAAGCAACCGTAACCAACGATTTCAAAATCTTGTAATCAACGATTTCAAAATTTCGTAACCAACGATTTCAGAATCTTGTAACCAACGATTTCAAAATCTCGTAACCAGCGATTTTATGTAATTCAGTGATTTAATACAATGTTGTACATAAAAAAAAAAAAATGTGTGCACGCGTTGCACGCGTGTAATACACGTGCAACACATGTAATACAAGTGTAGTACATGAAAACAATGTGTACACATGTTGCAAACGGAAGGAGCGTACGCACTCGCGCACGTACAAATGGAAGGGACGTACGCACGCGCGCACACAAATGGAAGGGACGTACGTGCACACACAAACGGAAGGGTCGTACGCACGCGCGCACACAAATGGAATGGACGTACGCACGCGCGCACACAAATGGAAGGGACGTACGCACGCGCGCACACAAATGGAAGAGATGTACGCGCACTCACAAACGGAAGAGATGTACGCGCACACAAAAACGGAAGGGATGTATGTACGCGCGCACACAAACGGAAGGGTCCTACGCACGCGCGCACACAAATGGAATGGACGTACGCACGCGCACACAAACAGAAGAGGTGTACGCGCACTCACAAACGGAAGGGATGTATGTACGCGCGTACATAAACGGAAGAGATGTACGCGCGCACACAAATGGAAGGGACGTACGCACGCGCGCACACAAATGGAAGGGACGTACGCACGCGCGCACACAAATGGAAGGGACGTACGCACGCGCGTACACAAACGGAAGAGATGTACGCACGCGATCACACAAATGGAAGGGATGTACGTGCACACACAAACGGAAGGGATGTATGTACGCGCGCACACAAATGGATTCGAAAAGGGACGTACGCACGCGCGCACACAAATGGAAGGGACGCACGCGCACACAAACGGAAGAGATGTACGCGCACCACACAAAACGGAAGGGCATGGTATGTACGCGCACACACAAATGGATTCGAAAAGAGACGACGCAGCGCGCGCCACACAAATCGAAAGGGACGCACTGGCGCACACAAACGGAAGGAGCTGACGCGCACCGACGCTGCGCACAAACGGAAGGCGATCATATACGCAGCGTTAACACTGTGAAGCATCACGACCACCCACTGTAGGATCTACCAAAATTTATTCATGATCTACATACACATTACTTTCTACACGGTAAAGCAAGTAACAGTAAAGTACTATGCTCTACCTGTGGCAATAATTATTCTCCGAATTATCACTGCATGTGAAATTTATATGAATAGTATATAGCATAGTAATACCTCATGAAATAAACCAGCGTAACGTACACAACATGATAGGTTAGATGGGCACAGCAACATAGAATGTCGGAGCAGGAAGGCAAGAAAGATTGGTCAACCTCATTAATCGATTGAGCATGTGTCTCGCGAATTATAAACAATAGTTTGATCAAACACTGTATTAAATAAAGGCGGTCTAATTATGCAACTGAGTCCGGAGGCACCCAACAGAAGCCTCCGCCAGAATGTTCACCGGAGCACAAAATTGCCCTGTCGCTCTAGAACAGGCCTTTTGGCATTTTTTTTCGCCCGAACTTCGGCACTAGACCGTGGCAATAATTTGTATTAGCACGCAAGTTTAGATGCCTCGTGACGTCTAGAAAAGGCATGAACCACAGCAAAATTGTCTGTTTTGTACTCGTGATATTGCCCGTCAGGTGCGTAGCCCGACAGCGCGACCGGCTCACGCAACCGGCAGGTTAGATGCGACTATGATATGATACTAGGCACTTTAATAATTTAATTTTTTTTTTTTTTAGGGTTAGGGTAGGGGTAGGTTAGTTTAGGGTTTAGGTAGGTTAGGGTTAGGGTTAGGTGTGTTTTTTTTAAAGTGCCTAGTAGGTCATATCCAAGTGCCTAGAGTCATATCATAGTCGTCCTCTACTGCCGGTGCCCGTCACAGGCACTTGAAGCGTTGCAATAAACATATAAGCTAACTAAATACGGGACAATCTATTTACTAACCGCAAATTCTAATGTTTCGGATACTCTGCTTTCAACCTATTATTGGCCGACAGTTGCGTAAAGTTCCGTCCAATCTACGTGCAACATATACGACCTGCAGCCGCCATTGGCTCCTCGCGGCTCTTCACTGTTGCTATCGCTTACACTAATATCGTATTAACACTAATAATATATATATATTTATATGTAATATATAATTAGTGTAAAGCGTGCAACATGAGCCGCGGCGAGTCAATGGCGCCTGCAGGGATATGGTTGCACGTAGGTATTTGACGGAATTTCACCATGGAACTGTCGCACATAATAGGTGAAAGAGAGTATAGAAAACATCTACGTAATTTGGTAGGTAAATAGATTTCCGTATTTAGGTTATGGCATTATATTAATGAAATGCTTCAAGTGCCTGTGGACGCCGGGGTGGTCATGTTTGTGTTTGAAAATGCTGTTCAGACAACTTGCACGCAAAGTCGCATCATAGTAGAGCTGGGCAAAGTTCCGGCGGAGCATTAGAGCATGGAATCGGTATAGTTTATTTTAACAGTGAAATAACGTGTTATACTTGTGTAAGCGAATAGCTGGTGAGTATTGTAATAATTTCTGTCGATGCCATGCAGGCCTGGCCGCTTATCCGACGCAACTGCTCTCTACATGAACCAACGTATTAGTTAGCGTTAGTCATAGTAGGAGATCAGTGATCCCGGACGCCCTATCACTGTTGTTCACACACCTGTAGTGGGGGGTGTCTAATATTCAAGCCAGTCCGACAGAATTACGGGTAACGCATATATTTCTAATATATTACTAACGCACATGCAATAAACTCGAATATTCAACATAGACTAGCTAAGACAATCGGTCTATGAGGTGTCTAGAATTTAGAAATATTTGATCCATTGTGTAATTCATCCGCGCGCAATATTTGGCATTCCTACTATATTTGACAATCTGGCGTCAATAAACTCCAATATTCACCCATGATTCAACGCCAGACGGGAGATCAATTTGGCATAAATATTCTAGATGCCTATAGACACTGTCTTAGCTATACTCTCTGGAAATGAGTTTCTTGACGAGCGACTTAGTCAATATATTAGCAAGATGCCTACCGCTAACTCCCCGTACCGTGCTTGAATATAGACACCCGCACCTGTATGCTGATATAGACCCCCAACCCATCACTGACGAGAGTTTAAAGTAAGGAGTGCTACATCATCAGGGGTCCCTCCAATGATTAAGAGAGACACGCAGCTGGATCATTTTTTCGGCGTCAATCCTCACTGGCGAAGAATATTCAATCTCTATTTGAAACCTATAATTTCAAACAAATGCATTTTTATTTGCGTGAGATACTGCGCACAGTAAAGTTGGTGAACAACTAGTAGGGGCGTCCGTAGGCGGCAGGCCTGAACTAAGCATCGAACAGACATAGATTAAAAATACTCACTACGTTATTCTGCAATACCACAACATACACTTTATCGATGTCAAATACTACAGATTAATCGGTATTCCGCTGCAAAACTTTGCCAAGCTCTATGATGCGATACAGCGACCCACATTTCAAACGACAGCGTAAATGCCAGCGCGCACTGATCTCTATAAATATATATATAATATAAATAAATAGTCTATAGTATGATATATAAAATATATATACTAGAATATATAACAATATATCAATATAAATATCATATATTATAGGCGCGGGGGACAGTGCGCAACCGGCGCTGTGGCATACCCGGCCACCTGACTGTCCTCAACTGAATGTCCGCAAGATACAGTCAAGACCCAATTTTACTTCTAAATGCTTCTAGCCCGCCCCACGCCGCAGGCATCTAATCGCGTGCATGAATGCAAATTATGCACTCTAGTGCCGGATACGGCCGAATAACCATGCCAAACACAAGGCCTTTTCGAGAGACGAAATAGTGGCAATCTTCGGAACCAATTTGCGGAGGCGTAACTGTTGTAGCCACCTAAGATGGCAGCATAACGGCAGTTCAGTTTTCAACATGGCAGCGACGCAGAAAGAGTCTGTGTTTTCATCTTGCCTTCGGATAAATTTTGATGTAAGGTGTCCATCGTACTTCATTTTTACCAGGCAGACAATGTGCCAAACCACCTTTACCGTGAATTATGTAATGTTCTCTGACGATTAAATGATTGTTGTAGCTTATCGTGTCAATAGTAAAACTGTTAACTGATAAAAACAACCATCGTTTTACAGCCAGCCTGAGCCTTAGTCTAGTACTATAGCCCGCGATAAGCTGCGCCGCCGCGGCTAGCTGCGATAAGCACTGACCGTGCGATAGGTAGTCCGCGCGAGCGTGCCCGCCGGGCCGCGGTTAACTGCGATAGCCCTGCACTTGCGGTTCAAGGATAGAGAACATGGGTCCAATACACTCAATGTCATTTAACATCAAGTAACAATATCAATGATTCATATTCAATATAATAGGTTAGGGGTATGGTACAGGGTATGGGTTAAGGGTTAGGTTTTAGAGTTAGGGTTTAGGGTAAAATTAGTTAGGGTCGGGGACGGCACATTGGTTTTATTGGACCCATGTCTCTATCCATTGGCCCTGACCCTGCGATAGGGAGCCCCGCGATAGCTGCCTGGGATGAGGCTCTAGTACTTACCTGCGGCAGCTATCCGCAGGGCTATAGTACTACTAGCGCTATCACTGAGCCTGGTGCTGTACTCAGTTACAGTACTGTATAATGTATTTTATTTTCCACAGTCTTGTCGCCAGACCTATGGCACTATGTTTATGAACAAATGTCTATCTAGCGACCAGGGCGGTCGATTATTCTTTTATTATTGGTTGTCCTTGCGGTTTTTGTTGTGATAATCGGTGATCAGCTGACGCTGTTGTGTTGGTGTGTTGTTGTTGTCGTCGTCGTCGTTGTCGCCGTCGCCGTCGTCGTTGTTGCTGTTGTTGATGATGATGTTAATATTATTTCTACTCTATTAGGCAACATCTGCAGGTCTCCGATCGCAGAGGCTATTTATGTTCAGCAAGTGGAACAAATGGGAGAAGCAAATAAGGTACTACCTACTAGTAGTAGTACTACTATATACTACTACTGCACTGGTCGATTTACACAATGGGCACTAGTAGATTTGCTTTTTCTCACTCACAATAATATCATGCATTTTTCATAACAAATTTGCCCTAAATAAATATTTCACAGACATGCTAGCATATCCGCTATGTGTGAGAATGTTTTACTGAACATTTATGGTTGGATTTGATGAATAATCCAACCAAATGGCTCTAGTAAAACTCTTGTAGGTTATAGGTGATGCTAGGTTAGGTGCCAGCTTCACCCAGTGTAGTGCATTTGGTCGGTTTCATACATTCCCTATGTATTTACTCTTGTAAACTGCTTGACTGCTATGCACGCTTCATGTTATCTATTCATTTTGTGTACTTTTCTCTGCAGTGGAAGATAGATAGTGGAGCGATGGGACCATGGCATGTAGGAAAACCACCGGATAGGAGGGCTAGAATGGTCCTTGAAAAACATGGGGTGCCCACAACATGTAAAGCACGAATGGCACGTATTCATGTTATTTTATATAAGATATTTTTAATCAAACAAGAATAATATACCATAAACGTTTTGACATCTGTCAGATGTCTTGATCACTACGATTATGGCAGTGATTCGATTACTGACCACCAGATGGAGGTGTGGTCTGTAAATGGTCCCAGTTTATTGGATTATTACAAACAGATGAACTTAGTTATATGAAGTTAGAGTATAGTAAAATGCTTTGAATTAAATTCAGTATATGCAAATGTTAGGATATGATAATTAACAAAATCATTTTACTCCCGAAAAGGTTACAGAAGCCGATTTCACTGAATTTGACTACATTGTAGGAATGGACCATGACAACATGAGGTGAAGGTTCAGATTTGTACTTGAAAATTTTTCTTAAACAGCTAGTATTATTAAACACGTAGCTCCAATCCTTTTTTGAACTTGGTTATATGAAGTTTTGGTAAAATAACAAAACATTAATACAGTCAACACCGACACTTCCTTCTATAGGTAAGCTGCATATATGCATTTCTCTACAACTCCAACTCATCTTCTATGCTATTACTAGTATTGTACTTGCCTAACTAATACTTTCCTAGTTGTAGTTGACAGGCATTTATTTTCATCATTTTGGGATCAGTACCTTCATACGTATATCAGTTATGGGGCTCATTGTCAGAAGCATAAATAAACAATGTCATAACATTTGACGCTTTGTTCGAAGTGGCATGCAAAAGTTATGAAATTTTAGAGTTATAATAGTGACGTCTATGTGTTTCTGACAGCAGGTGTTTAGTCTCTACTATATTTGTGGTAAACGTTCTATTCTGTAGCGATCTGCGTCGAATGATGCCGGAAAACTCCACTGCCAAATTGCTGATGCTCGGAGATTACGATCCAGAAGGAGTTAAAATTGTACACGACCCGTACTATGTGAGTGGTGAAAACATTTGCCTACTTGTTTGTTACATCAGAACCCAAGTCAAAATTGAGAATTATTGAATAGAGGCCTCTAACTGCAGAAGGCGATGTTACAGCAATGTGCACGTTCACTTACTTTGCAAGCTTACAAGCTTGCAATAACTGTGATAATATAACTGCATTCCAACGTTTCTATTTCAGGATTCTGACGTGAGTGCATTCGAGGTGTGCTACCAGCATTGTCTGCGGTCATGCAAAGCTCTCAAAGATGTCCTGAGCAAACACTAGTCTAGATGGAAGTGTTTTTAGTTGTACTCTTATATTTTGTTAATTCACTATTACCATTTTGGTTTTTGATATCAAATTATGAGATAACCTAGCATTGCAGCTTGTTAACAGTTAAGTGCAGGTAAAAACATTAATAGTGAAAGCATTTTATTCTTAACGTTATGTAGAATAAATATGCATAGTCTGCTGTTTGCCATTTCAATTGACCCATGATATAGGTAATTAATGGCTTGCTTGTGACAAAACTGTATGATTGTGGCTCAGAAATTTATGAGTTTCAAATAAATTGCTAGGTTTATGATTGCTAATTACTGAATTATTCTACTGAGTATTAGATGCAGAATGGTTAATATTTTAACATGTTAAATTGTCAATAAAATCAAAAGCTGGCTGTTTATGGTTACAAATTTGAAAGTGTCACATTTGTGCCTGCTTTGTACAACGACCAAAAGTAACACCAATCTCAGGCCTGTAGCAAGTACTCCAGGAGTTGTGGGACTTTCTCATCAGGTGGACCATTTTCAGAAACTTGAAGAAAGAAGTGAAGTACCTGTGTTACCCTCCTATTAATACCGCCAAGCATGACAAACTCCCTGGAACATACAGTAGCCTCTACGGTATGGTGTTTATAGGTCGCTTCCTTGGACAGTTGGAGTGTGGCGAGTATGTTCTTCACTCTTTCATACATTTTCACACATTACTGTCTCTCGCTCAGCCTCCTTCTTCTTCTACCGCCCTCAGCTATCTCCCCTGCAGCCTTTCCTCAGTCTCCCATTCCCTCTCCCTCTCAGCAAGATCTATTATGAAGTTTGCCTCATACGGCACTGCACGAAAAACACGGTGCGCGCGCATGCGCAATACCTCCCGTAGAAATCGTATTTTGCAAAGATTATGCATTTAAAATAAATAGGAGTTATCCTAGCATAGATTTATATGATACCATTTCATCAGTTGACATCATTTAAGAAATCGGAGGAAGAACTTGCATGTAAGGTCCCCGGTGCGTATACCAGCCAGTACACAATCTGGCTACGTTAGTGTGTTAGCGTATGCGCAATATCTCACCAGAGGAGTTATATTTTGTGATGAATATGCATTTAAAATGGTTAGAGGGGATCTCAGCATAGATTTCCCTAATAAACTTTTATCAGTAGACCTGTGTTTATAATTAGGAGAGCGCCCTAGCATGTAGGGTACAAAACACCTACTTTATGCCCTCGCGTCCTTCCCTTTGCCTCCCCTGTCCCTTGCTCAGCTTCTTTCTTCTTTTACCGCCGCCAGCTATCTTCTCTGCCGCCTTTCCCCAGTCTCCCATCCCCTCTCCCCCGCAGCAAGCTATATTATGAAGTTTGCCTCAGACGGCACTGCACGCCTAACACGGTGCTCGCGCATGCGCAATATTTCCCGAGAGAAATCGTATTTTGCAAAGATTATGCATTTAAAACAAAGAGGGGATATCATAGCATAGGTTTATATAATAACATTCCATCAGTAGACATCATTTAAGAAATAAGAGGAAGACCTTGCATGTAAGGTCCCGGCTGCGTATACCAGCCAGTACACAATCTGGCTACGTTAGTGTGTTAGCGCATGCGCAATATCTCATCAGAGGAGTTATATTTTGTGCTAAATATGCATTTAAAATGGTTAGGGGGGATCTCAGCATAGATTTCCCTAATAACTTTTATCAGTTGACATGTGTTTATAATTAGGAGAGCGCCCTAGCATGTAGGGTACAAAACACCTACTTTATGCCCTCGCGTCATTCCCCTTGCCTCCCTTGTCCCTCGCTCAGCCTCCTTCTTCTTCTACCGCCCTCAGCTATCTTTCCTGCCGCATTTCCTTAGTCTCCCACCCCCTCTCCCCCTCAGGAAGCTATATTATTAAGTTTGCCTCAGACGGCACTGCACGCCTAACACGGTGCGCGCGCATGCGCAATATCTCCCGAGAGAAATCGTATTTTGCAAAGATTATGCATTTAAAATGAAGAGGAGTTATCCTAGCATAGATTTATTTGATAACATTCCTTCTGTAGACATTATTTAAGAAATCTAAGGAAAACCTTGCATGTAAGGTCCCGACTGCGTATACCAGCCAGTACACAATCTAGCTACGTTAGTGTGTTAGCGCATGCGCATAATCTCACCAGAGGAGTTCTATTTTGTGATGAATAAGCATTTAAAATGGTTAGTGGGTATCTCAGCATAGATTTCCCTAAGAACTTTTATCAGTTGACATGTGTTTATAATTAGGAGAGCGCCCTAGCATGTAGGGTACAAAACACCTACTTTATGCCCTCGCGTCCTTCCCCTTGCTTCCCCTGTCCCTCGCTGGTCCTCCTTCTTCTTCTACCGCCATCAGTAGACATCATTTAAGAAATAGGAGAAAGACCTTGCATGTAAGGTCACCACTGCGTATCACAGCCAGTACACAATCTGGCTACGTTAGTGTGTTAGTGCGTGATTCTGCGAGAAAAGTGAATAATTATTATATATCTGATTTTACCATGCACACGGGCTGGCAGCCCGCCCGGCTCTAGTTTGACCGTATAAAAACGGCCGAAGAAAATTATCTTAGCAGTCAACGGCGACCGACGTCCGAAGCCCAATTCCGTGTATATTAATATAGTCTTAACGCGAAACCCATGGCGTGATGCGGCGAGAAAGTGACTATTAAGGGGGGCTTATGTCGGGTTTGCGAGCCGACTCGACTGGAAGCAACTGGCTGCAATTCACTGCGACTGCAGTGCTTAGGTCGGTCGACTGCGACGCGACTGCCTGCGACTGGCCGCCACTAGTTGCTCGAAATAGAACAGTAGGCAACTGGACGCAACTAGTCGCTGCCGATCGCTTCCAGTTGCTCGAAATCCAGTTGCTTCCTGTCAAGCCCGACATAAGCTCCCTTTTATATATCCATTTACCAACGGGCGAAAAAAATTATCTTAGCAGTCAACGGCGACCGACGACCGAGGCCCAATTCCCTCTATATTAATATAGGCATAACGCGAAACCAATGGCGTGATGCTGCGAGAAAAGTGAATATTATATATCTGATTTTACCATGCACACGTGCTGCCAGCACGCCTAGCACCAGTTTGACCAGTGTCAGAAAAGTTACAAAGTTGTGGCAGCCAAGCGTTCATAGCGACATTGCTTTTTGATTCTTCGATGTCGGCTCTTCATATCATTGTGAAGCAGAATTCACGAATCGTTGGATTGTTCACCCACCAAAGGCACTAACTAGGGAACGTGAGCTGGGTTTAGACCGTCGTGAGACAGGTTAGTTTTACCCTACTGATGACATGTTGTTGCAATAGTAATCCTGCTCAGTACGAGAGGAACCGCAGGTTCAGACATTTGGTACATGTGCTTGATCGAAAAGTCAGTGGTGCGAAGCTACCATCTGGGGGATTATGACTGAACGCCTCTAAGTCAGAATCCCGCCTAGAAATGTGACGATACCGTTATGTGCCACTTGCCTTGGGAGGCAGTAATATGCGGAGATTCGCTCTTCGGTGGAAAAGCCGCAGCACACGGACGCTGCTGTCGGCGCAGAACGCGTACGCAGGCAGTCACAGAGTCGATACGATATCCAACCCATGCAAGGTATTGGTGCCAAATCCTTCGTAGACGACCTAGGTGCCAGTCGTGGTGTCGTATCTAGTAGAGCAGCCACCACACTGCGATCTATTGAGACTAAGCCTTTCACTGGAAGATTTGTCTGCGCGAGGCAGGCGAGTCCCCAGACGCGCAGTGTTGGTGGCGAGAACGAAAACGCGAGAGAGGCATACTAAGAGAACCGAACCAAACCAAACCGAGCCAAACGAGTGCTTGAGGTGAAACATAACCAGAGAGACGAGAAAGGCATTGTTACGAGAGGCAGACTGATAGAATTGGAATTGACGAACTGTGAAAGGTGGTCGAGAAGCAGAGACAGACGAGAACAGGGGCAACATAATCGAGAAAAAGATGGCAAACAAAGAGTTCACCTCCTGCTGCAGAGCAAGGGCAGCAGCGCAGAACTGAGAAGAGCGATGACCACCTCTCCCGCTCGTCAGTGAGCGAGAGAAAGGGAGAAACTAGTGGGAGTGTGTTACCAACCATCCCACCCTCAAGGGTACACACAAATGGATTCGAAAAGGGACGTACGCACGCGCGCACACAAATGGAAGGGACGCACGCGCACACAAACGGAAGAGATGTACGCGCACACACAAACGGAAGGGATGTATGTACGCGCACACACAAATGGATTCGAAAAGGGACGTACGCACGCGCGCACACAAATGGAAGGGACGCACGCGCACACAAACGGAAGAGATGTACGCGCACGCGCGCGCACAAACGGAAGGGACATATACGCAGCGTTACATGGATGCATCACGACCAAACCCACTGTAGATCTACATAATTTATTATGATCTACATACACATTACTTTCTACACGGTAAACAAGTAACAATAAGTACTATGCTCTACCTGTGCAATAATTTTCTCCGAATTATAACTGCATGTGAATTTATATGTATATATAAACATAAATACATGAAAAAAACGAGCGAACGTACACACAGATAGGGTTAGATCGGGCACAGCACATAAATGTCGAGCAGAAGCAAGAAAAATGTGTCACTCATTTAATCGTATAGCATGTGTTCTCTGAATTATAAACAATATTTGATCAAAACACTGTATTATATAAAGGCTGGATAATTATGCAATTATGTAGGAGGCATACAACAGTAAGCCTCCGCAAATTGTTCACCACAAAATTGCACTGTCGTCTCTAGAAAAAGCCTTTTTTTGCATTTTTTCGCCGAAATTCGGCACTAGAGTGCAATAATTTGTATTATGCACGTAAGTTAGATGCCTCGTGGACGTCTAGAAAGCATTACAAGTAAAATTGGTCTTGTTTTGTACTCGTGATATTCCGTCAGGTGGCGTAGCCACAGCGACCGCTTCACGCAACCGGCAGTTAGATGCGATATGATATGACTACTAGGCACTTTCATTTCATTATTTAATTTATTTTTTTTTTAGGGTTAGGGTTTAGGGTTTAGGTTAGGTTTAGGGTTTAGGTTAGGTTAGGGTTAGGTTAGGTTTTTTTTTTTTAAAGTGGCCTACGTAGTCATTGATCCTTAAGTGCCTAGTAGTCATATATATCGCATCTAACTGCCGGTGCCCGTTCACAGGCACATTGAAGCGTTCAATAGAAAATAAATATAATGCTTAACTAAATACGAAATCTATTACTACCAAATTCTTATGTTTCTATACTCTCTTCAGGACCTATTATTGCCGACAGTTTTCTGTAAATTCTCCAAATCCTATCGTGGCAACCATATACGCTGCAAAAGCCGCCATTCTGCTCGCTCTTTGGCGGCTCCACTGTTGGCACGCTTACCTATAATATAGTTACGACTAATAATATATATATATTATTAGTGTAATATATGATTCAGTGTAAGCGTGAAGCAGTGGAGCCGCCGAGAGCAATGGCGCTGCAGCGTATGATGGTTGCACGTAGATTTGGACGAAGTTTACAACGGAAACTGTCGCGAATAATAGGTGAAAGAGAGATATAAGAAACAGTTAAGATTTGGTAGTAAATAGATTTCGTATTAGTTAGCATTATATTTTTATTGAAATGCTTCAAGTGCCTGTGGAACCGGTTGGGTCATTTTTGTGTTTGGAAATGTGTCAAGACAACTTTGCAGAAAGTCGCATCATAGTAGCTGGCAAAAAGTTTCGCGGCGGAGCAATAGTAGGCANTAGTTTCTGAAATTAACAATTGCAAAGAATTCTAACCCTTTCTAATAAGAAATACAAAATTCCAGCGTACGCATACACTCAAATACGATCTCATTCCTAACCTATCCCAGCGCTGCGACGTCATAAGACGTTATCACGTGACCTCCCTCCAGGCACGACGGTGGGAAATCAACGAATCAGCGCTGGGAGCCTGGAGGGTTATCACGTGACCTCGCTACGTCGCAGCAATGCGTGGCAGCACTAGTGTAGTGGTGATGTTCATGCGTTATGTTAGTCATGTTCATGAGCGTAGAGGTAAAACAGGTACCGAGGTGGGAATTACTCAATTCAAAGACCTAGTTTAGTTACGTTAGTGAAATCGGGTCTAGGAGAGACGGGCATACCCATCACAATAATTGGTAACGCCACCTGCAAATGCCACATCGGTACGAAACCACTGCGGTTCGTGCAGTTTCGAAGTGATTTTCGTATCTTTTTCTATACAGCTCATGCTATAGGAGGAGCTAGAGAGCGACTTTCCCTGTATATATATAAGCTCACTCACGCTGCTATCGTGAAGCGTCGAACGTTATCGGAATATACCGGGTTTTTGATTCGCGGAATTGACGGTTGAGACTACTAGACGACAGACGTCTAAGCTAGTAACTGGCCCTGGGGCAAGCCAGAAGAGTCTTAAACGGGTCGGTATCGGTACGACAGTGGACGGGGCTTCGTTAACGAGGGTTCGAGAGTGCAGGCAACCGTACGTTGGACGTCGTTCTCGTCAGCGATTCCTTTCGTTTCGGTTCAAATTTTAGTCGTGACTGCGTAGGACGTGCTGCCGATCGGTAGCGACATTCGTCCGAAAACGGTGTCGAGCTAATTGAGACGGAGTTTATGCCGAGCCATAGGAACGATAGATGATGATCGTGTGATCTCTTTTTGGAAAGTGCTCAACGGTGCGCCGTCGAGTGCTAGCAAGTCGAGAGGGGCCCAAGTTGATTATCCTCTACGTCGAGACGCACTGCTTGGGAGGTCCTGCAGTATCGACCGCCGATTCAATGTGAAGAACGCCTGTCGGTGCTGCGGTCGACCTACGGTCGAGTGTACCACTGTGTGTAGTGTTTCGTCGAACGATCGAGTAGACGAACGGGCGTCGGTCAGTTTGCTTCTTCGAAAGCAATCGTGGTTGCGCCGCTACCTGGTTGATCCTGCCAGTAGTCATATGCTTGTCTCAAAGATTAAGCCATGCATGTCTAAGTACAGACGGATACAAAGTGAAACCGCGAATGGCTCATTAAATCAGTTATGGTTCCTTCACAAAAAAATCCAACTTAAAGGCCTCTTAAGTTGAAGAATCACACGATTATGGTCCTTTCACTCATTTATGACACCCTTAAGGCGTGAACTGGGTGTGAAACGTTGCTTAGTGAATTTACACTTAAGTTATGGTCCTGCCACCCGTAAGTTCCTTAGATGAACTTCCAACTTAAGGTATTGGGAACTTGCCACTTTAAAATTTACGACGTTATGCAAATTCACAACTTAAGTGAACCGTCACTTCAGTGGTATGTGAAGATTGCAACTTAAGAGTGAAATGTGAATCAACACCTTAAGGTGGACGAATTTATTCACAACTTAAGAAAAACAACTATCACTCCTATGTCCAATGACCACTGGCAATCGTCACAGTTGGTTCATATAGACTTGGCAACTTGAGTGCCAATACCAATGCCAGACACTAGCAATGACAAGAACACGCGACAAGAACACGCGACAACAACACGCGACAAGAACACGCGACAAGAACACGCGACAACACCACGCGACAACCCCACGCGAACAGAACACGCGAGAACACCACGCGACAACCCCACGCGACAACACCACGCGACAACCCCACGCGACAACCCCACGCGACAACACCACGCGAGAACACCACGTGACAACCCCACGCGACAACACCACGCGGTAACACCCCACGCGACAACACCCCACGCGACAACCCCACGCGACAAGAACTACGCCGAGAATCACACGCCGACAACCACGCGACAACACCACGCCGACAACACCCCACGCGAGAACACCCACGCGAGAACACTCACGCGACAAACACCCCACGCGACCAACACCCAACGCGACAAACACCCACGCAACAACCCACGCCGACAAGAACACGCGACAAGAAAAACGCCGCCCAAGAACACGCGGACAACAACACGCGGAACACCACGCAACATACCCACGCGACAACCCCACGCGAACACGCGACAAGAACACGCGACAACACCACGCGAGAACACCACGCGACAACCCCACGCGACAACACACGGCGAGACACCACGCGACAACCCACGCCGACAACCCCACGCCACGCGACAACACCCCACGCGACAACCCCACGCGACAACACCCCACGCGACAACCCCACGCGACAACACCCCACGCGACAACACCCCACGCAGCACAACAAGGATGACGAAGATATTCACAGCTTAAGAAAGGCAACTATCACTCCAATGTCCGTGCACACACTGTTACTACATGCCATTACACGCGACAACACGCGACAACACGCGACGACACGTCGCAACACGAGTGAAATGGGAATACACAACTTAAGGTTGATGAATATATTCTCAGCTTAAGAAAGGCAACTATCACTCCAATGTCCGTGCACATACTGTTACTACATGTTGCAACACGTGCAACATGT